CCCCAGCCCCTGGTTGGTTTTTTTAATATTAACCAGACTGGTCTAAGGGATGCACAGGTAGCTGGTAAAATATTATTTCCAGGTATGTCTGCAAGCACTTTGAGTTTCCTATGCCCTTCAGACTCCAGGACTTGCACAAGTGTCCACCTCCCTCACCCCACCCAGCTTGCAAGCCTTTGCACTGAATTACTCCCTGCTCTGCTAGATTCTAGCTTGCAGATGGCAGATTGTGGGATTTCCAGGCTTCGTACCATTTGGGCCAATTCCTATAGGAATCTCCTTCTATATACCAACACATCCCAGCTTCGGAGAATCAGATTCACCATGTTTTCATGACAATGCAAAACTGATTCAATAGAGGCTGAATTTTGAATTTTGATCCTTCCCTCAGGCCAGGCATTTGTGGAAAGATGCTTTCTTGAAGTCCTAGGCAGCAGCAGCTCCCAGTCAGTGGCTCAATGCAAGGGCAAATAACTGTTTCTGTACAGCATGCTGTGTTGCTGAGCTTGGATGTTTGTTAAGTGTTAAATGCATTTTTAACTTACATTTTCAACCCATTTAGGATGGGTTTATCAGACATAGCCTTGTTGTACATTGAGGAGCATCTTATATTTATACATAGCCTGCTGTTTCTATTTCTTTGCAGAAGAACACTGACTGGTCACTGTTGCCATCTCAAACCACCACTGTGACATCATTAAGGATGGACTTGGTAAGAGATGAGCAGTAGCACACTATTATATAGCATTTGCACCACTAAGATGCCACCATCATAAATAAACCCGAACATAAATAATAGTAAAATAATAAGTGATAGGTTCTGTGTACTTACCACTTTTGCTCATATGTTTAATAATGACTTTGTTTAACAATTGGTTCACAACATTCTTGAGAACTTAACTCTTGTGGGTCAGTATAAACCAGGTTGGCTGTGGTTCCCCTGTGCTGGCTATCTACTGCTCTCAGATTCACATTCCATCTCCTGCATCTCAGAAAGATCAACTCAATTCCAATCTCAGTTTCCTAAAGAAGAGATTCGGTCACTGGTCGGATCAGGCATCTGCCTGTGGTCAAGCTGTACATAGCAATCATGTGAATGTGACTAGACCTCAAGGGAACTGACCACTTCTCATTTGGAAACCCCCAGGAGCGGCACCACTGTGAGTGAAAGGGCATCTGCACAATGCCCAGGACATGTTGCAGACACACGACACCTGCTTCTTCCTGCCCATCTTTCAGGACTCCACAAGACTTCATTTCCGGCTTTTCCACTCTCTTTTTCCAGACAGATTACAAAATAGTAGATCAGTGGTTCTTCAGTGTGGTCCCTGGATCAACAGCAGTTGCCTCACTAGAAATTTGTTCCAAAAGGCAATTCTTGGACCATCCCAAATCTGGTGAGTGAGAAATTCTGGGCATGGAGACCGAAGTGTATTTGAAAAGGTCCTCCAAATTGCTCTGAAATTGAGACCCACCATATTAAATGCATGGCACACCTTTTCTGCTTTAAAAAGGCGTATTTTATCCTTTAGCAGCAAAACAAATCCAGGACATCCTGGTTAAATTGGGCATTTCCTTCTAGTTTCCAGAAATGACAAATAATTTCTTACGATGCATTACTCCTATAGAGGAATAACCTCATCAATTACATATTGATTTTTTTTACTACTTCTTCTTTTAGAAGATGGCAGTTTTTAATTTCTAGGAATATTATAGCCTCTATATACATTATAAATCATATACATCTAACATAATTTATTTTTTCAGGATACAATTTTCTATTTCTAAGCTTGCTGATAACCTTCTTACAGATAGGGACTATATTTTTGTATTTGATTTAGGCCACAGAATGTAATGTAGGCCAGGACTCATATAAGATATTGAAATATTAGACTGTATAGTTAAGAAGTTTTTAAAAATTCTTTTTCTAACCCTTTGTTTTATTTTACAGGCATTATTTTAAAACTATCACAGAAAATTTCTAAAATGGGCTGAAAACCTATAAAATTTCAATAATAATAAAAAAGAAAATGGCCAATATCTAAATTTATTAAAATTATGGAATTTGTACTAAATTTGGCAAAGACAGTAAGGATCACCAATGGGGTCTTTGGCTGAGTTAACAACTTATATTTTGGCATGTTTCCTTCTAATAATTTTTCTATTTTTCTATGGTTTTGTTATAAAGCAGAGACTATATATTATATTTATAGTTCCAATATTCTACTCTTAAACTAAATATTATGTCATGAGCAATCTAATATCACTGAACAGTTTTTGAAGTATGGTTTTCAGTGGTTCCATATTATTCACTTGTATGAATGAAGTTGTCTTGGTTACTTTTTTCTCGCTGCTGGGACAAAATACCTGATGCCGGGGCTGGGGATTTAGCTCAGCGGCAAAAGCACCTGCCTGGCAAGCGCAAGGTCGTGAGTTCGGTTCCCGGTACCGGAGAAAAACCAAAAAAAAAAAAATACCTGATGCCCAAAATTAAGGAAGGAAAGGTTTATTTCGCTTACAGTTCATGGAAGTTTCAGTCCGTACTTGGCAGATTATAAGGCAGAGTGGCACATGGCAAAGAGCTACAGCTCAGGGCAGCAGAACACAGCTAAGCTGCAAGCACACACCAGGGCAGAATCGGGGAGGAATGTGCTCAAGCACTCTTTTCCTCTCCCTTACATATGCAAACTATCCACTCCCGGGAGGGTGCAGCTCTCAAACCCATAATAATCAAACTCTAACAGCCTGCCCCATTTCCGCATGAGGCTTTGGGGAGACACACAGACATAAACCATAACATTCCACCCCTGGCCCCCCAAAGACTCGTGCCCATCCCTTTATACAAACAGCATTTAGTCCATCTGCAAGAGTTGCCAATGTTCTAACAGTTTCAGCATTGCTGACGAGTCCAAGTCTCAAGTCTCCTCCGAGATGTAAGGCAAACTCTTAGCTGTGAGCCCCTGTACAAATGAAAAGTTAAACACTCCCAACATTCAATGGCACAAAATAAGCATTACCATTCCAAAAGGTACAAACAGTGGGACACAGAGCATTGGAAACAAAGCAAGTCCAAAATCCAGCAGGGCTAACATCATGTCCTGTAATTCCACATGCAGCATCTGAAGCAACTTGTGGCACATTGTGAGCTCCAAAGGGCTTGCATGAGTCCACCCCTGTGGCATTTCTGGTGGTTACAGCTTCCATGACTTCTCTCTTAGGCCTGCTTTGCTCCCTCCGGGCAGTTTTCCTTAGACCATCCACGGTCCTGGCTTTTCTAAACTTCTGAGGTCTCCAGGGCACTTTTTGCTTCACACTCACAGCCTCACACAGAAGTACAATTTATTTAACCATTGTCCTATTTAGGACTTTTAGGTTACACCCAATATTTCACTTTTAAATAACGATGTGAATAAAGAGGATGCATATTTTTAAAAGAGAGCTATTCTTTTACAGGTAAGACTGATCGATTCTTTAGAGTTTCTAAATGCTCCTGGTCCTCTTTTCTCTCCCCTGTGTTCATCAGTTTGCACCCTCAAGTATTCACCTCTATCACCTTTGAGCTCAGGTCTTAATGAGTATTTAATGCATATATTTGCATAAACACCCAAATCAATGAAACTGTGAGATTTAAAAGGAGCTAGTACCTTTTCTGATAGTTTTCCATCAGCCAGGAAATCCTTTACACTCTCCAAACTTCCATTACTGTTACTATCATCTGTGCCAATGCTTCAAGACTTTGTTCTACAATCTCTAATTCTTAAATTGGGAGAATGATAATAAGTTATTAATTGCTTATTGAATGGTAAGTGATCTAGGACATAAGATATCAATGCAAGAATGTTACCATGTTAAATCAAGGACCTTTTCCTTGTAAAATATGTGAAGCTTTCAAAAGCTCTAAAACTCAGCAAAGTATTGTAGGACAGAGAGTGAGTTAACTTCCTATACTGCTTATTTTGGCAATAGTCAGGTATCTTTTAGATGAAATATAACACACACATAACAAAACTTTCTAAACTGAAATGAACAAGTTTTTATTTTAATAAATCATCTTAGTTGTTGTCAATTGACTGAAGTGAATGGTGTTTCTATCCTTTCATAATGGGAAAGGATAACATAACAAATACTCGGTTATGAGAATCAGAACTTTGAAGAAATGCTTCCATGGCATGGAACCAACAATAAATGTATTCTAAACGGTTTTTAGGATTTACAACTATCCCTGCCAAGCATGGTAGAACTCTAGAACTAGCACACAGAATGAGGCAGGAGGGAGGTACATGAGACCAGGAATTTGAAACCAGCTTAGGAAACATAGGGAGGCTCTGTCTCAAAACCAAACTAAATCTCTGACACAGTTTTTTTCCCTCTCCAATTTAATTTTTCTTCTTGAATTGGGTTTTTTTAAAAAAGAGTTTCTGATTACATTTCATTTAGTATCTTGATTGCTACGTACAGGAAAGATGATCTCAATTACTTTGAGGTAACTATTGAATTATTAGTAAGACAGGTAAGAAATCTAGATCTGAGAGAATTGAGGCAGAGCTACTGAGAAATGCCTCAGATGGGGGTAGTTGTTTAAGCTTACAGGACATTTGACAGGCTGGCTGTGAATACCGCTTTCTACTCTATTCTCACAAGCTCGTATTACTGTTCTGGTTTTGTTCAGCCTGCTGCATTCATCTTGACAAGCAAGTAACTTCAGGAACTCCGAAGCAAACTTCTAGCACAGTAAAAATCGTGTCTTAATTAACATAAGTAGAGTGTCCTACCCGGAGGCTTTTGGAGCCACCAAGCAGATACAAAAGGCACAATAACTATGAAAAATGCAGCACACGACTTCAGCGCTGCTCAGAAGGCTTGGTTTCAGTCCTTTATTTGTACCTCTATACTAGGGGATACTACAGCTGCGCTTTCGGCGGGCACCAGCAGGGGGCGCACGTCGGCAACCGCGTCGCCAACAATGGCGTCCCAGGGTGCTCTCTTTTCTCCTCTCGCTGGCCTTGGCTTCCGCCGGAAGTGCCGCCATGTTGTTGCTGGCCTCGGGTGTTTGTGGGCGGCCGTGGGCTGGCGGCCGTGTCTGGGTGAGGGGAGCAGCAGTTCCGAGGAGCCGGCCAGGGGGCGCAGGCCACGTCCGGACCCGAGATGGACGTTCTGAAGTCCGAGATTCTCCGGAAGCGGCAGCTGGTGGAGGACAGGAACCTGCTGGTGGTGAGGAGCTTGGCGGCCGGCGTCCCCGGTGGTGTGGGTGAGGGTGCTGCCCGGCGGGGAGCCCCTCCGATCAGCCAGCCGCCGCGCCTCGCTCGGGAGCCCGGGGCGGGGTGCGGGACCGCGGGACCCCCGGCTGCCCGTGCCCCCTCCGGCCGCGGTTCTGCGATATTGCCCGCTGCTGTCTCCGGAGGGAGGGTGTGTGTCCCGCCCGCCCGGGAAGGGCGGTCCCGAAACTCCTGAGTTTTTTCTTTTTCTTTTTCTTTCTTTCTTTTTTTTTTTTTTTCTTTTTTTGGTACCAGGAATCGAACTCAGGATTTTGCACTTGCCAGGCAGGCGCTTCTGCGGCTGAGCTACATCCCCGGCCCCCCAGAGTTCTTTCCTATAGTACGACTCGGTTCTTTTACTCTAGCTCCCCTTCCTCCGCGTTTACAAAGTTTGTAGGTCTGCTCTGCATGGGCGGGAAGGCTATTTTTGGAGAGGTACTCAAAACAGAAAGAATGACCGGGTACAAGAACTTTGAATCCACTGCCTTATTGCAACAGTTCTTAAAACTGTTGGTCTGAGACTTTTATATTCTTAGAAGTTACTAAGGATCCCAAAGGGATTTTGTTTATGTGTTACATATCTGTTAGCATTTACCTATTATAAGTTAAACGAAGAAACTAAAAATATTTCCGTATTCGCTGATCATCTGAGAAGTAATTGATTCAGTGAGTTGGGCAAATCTCTCGATGGTAGACTGGTTTCATTACACAGTATTTTAAAAATATTAGTTAATCACTGATTTCATGAGGTTTCTGTAACCATTCCTTAAGCATTAGGAAACGCGACTCACAGTGGCAAATCTAAGTTCCTCAGAGCTGGAACTTTTCACCATAGTCAACAAATACTGTCAGTTGATGTCCTGAAGTGGTAGGCTCACTGTGTTCAGTTTTGGAAACTTCGCCTGACAGCTGTTCAAGTCTAATAACTACAGTTTATCAGTATTCGTTTATGACAAAATGATACTCAGAAAGTAGTGTCAGCTCAGTTGTTTTCCTGTAGACAGCTTCATACTTTAGTATCAATACAAAATGCTTTATGTACATTCTCATTTGTCACAAGGATGTGAGAAAGATGTAGTCAAAGACTGAGACTTAGTACAATTAGTAATTTTATTATAGGTTGAGAATCCCTACTCCAAAAGTGTAAAATTTGAAATGTTCCAAAACCAAAACTTTTTGAGTTCCAACATGATGCCACAAGTAGAGAAGCCCACACCAGATGTCAGTGGAATTTTCAAAACGTTAGAACACTAAAAATTCTGTATAAAATTACCTTCAAGTTCTGTGCATAAAGTGTATATAAAGCATGCATGAATTTTGTGTGTAAAGTTGGGTACCAACCACCCAGATACCTCTTTTTGTACATGCAAATATTTCAGAATAAAAACGAACCTGAAATCCAAAACACTTATATCCCAAGCATTTTGTATAAGGGATGCTCATCCTGTACTTCATCAAGGAAATTATTAAGTGACAGATACAATGACAGTTTAGTGCCACTGTTTAGATTCTTGCTAAGGCTTTGGTATGTTGGACCCATCCTTTTATTTACAAATGTCAACAAAATGAACAAAAAATACAGTACCTTAATATTGATTTTATTTATTTATTTGTCTTTTTGAGACAGGGTCTCTTTGCAGTTCAGGCCAGCTGTGAGCTCACTTTGTAGCCCAGGCTGGTCTTGAACTCGCAGCGATCTTCCTGCCTCAGCCTCCCAAGTGCTGGGATTACGGGCGTGCAACACCACGCCGGGCAGTACCTTTATATTGAAAATAGTATTAGTATTGAACTCATGGGTCCTCTGAAAAGGTCTTAAAGGACCTATAGAAATCTGTGGACCACATTTGGATACTATCCGACTTAGACCTTTGCATGTAGTATATTATTAATGTGTATGGTGTAAGTTAGAGTTGTTACTTTGTTGGATGGCAAATGTCATAATTGTTGAAACCTTAAAAATGATTAGGAAAGTAAAGCTAATTATAGAATGTTATTTAGCTGGCAAGGTGTGGAGGGGGACTTTGCCCATATTTTTAACTTAATGCTTTTATTTCTATCTCAGAAACTTTTTTCTTTGGATGAATGGTTTGGTAATGTGTTTAAGAACTAATATATGTGTTGAAATGCATAATCGATGTTAGAAAGGGCCAGAGTGCTGAAGTCAAGTGCTTTAAAGGGAAAACTGCCTTAAAAGAAATACTCAGCTCATTCTCGGGCTTTATAAAGTAAAGATTTGCATGATCAGGTTATTTGTTATGGAAATAGACCAACTTATAAAAATGATCAAATTTTTCAAAATTTTGATTCTTCATGACAATTATATATAAACTTTTCCTGAGGAATCTTTCATTATTTAATGTGGTAGTTGGTTTACTCAGATATTCCAGCCAGAAGATAAGATTGATTTCCTCAATTATAAAGCAGTTCAGACCAACAAAGGACATACATGAAATGGGAAATAAAAGACTGACATTCATAGCTTCGATTAAAAGTAATCCTCCAGATGTTATGCAGTATACCTTACACATGCTATCTAACTTTAACTGGTACAGCACCTCCATAAAGGTACAGTTATTCCTCTATAGTGAAGAAACTGAAGTTACGTGCTTTATACCTCACACAACTAGACAGAGGTGGAACCTGGATTTTTGTCCTGGCCTCTCCTACTTCAAAGTCTGCTAGAGTAACTACTACTGATAAGATGTTTATTTATATTCACTGGTGAACATGGAATTAATTTTGATAGGACTCATGTGAGAATTAATATATATGATTTGTATTTTTCAAAGTGCTGTCTTATTTGACTTCACAACTCTAATTAGTGCATAAGGCAAGTGTTATTCTGTTATTTCCATGAGTGGTGAAACTGAGACTTACAAGGTTACCTGGTCTTCTTATATCCCAGGATAGATCTTCTCTCAGGCCCATCTTGTGGGTGAGTGCTCTTGTGTAATGCAATAATACATATGTATCTACACATCTTTTCATATTGTATGCATGGGAAGAGAATCTTTTGATTTGCAGCTGTATAGTTTTATACAAGATCAGTTTACTTTGTAGCTTTTATCTTCCTACATCATACTGTTCATCAGTAACTTTCAAACTTTTCACTATCCCATCCATAATAAGAAATATATTTTTACATTTTGATCTGAGATGTAAAAAATGTTTTCATGAAATAATTCTTTCCATAATGGAATGATTCTGTCATGATTTTTATTTTTTTTTCATAAGTTCATCTTTCATTTCTAAAAAAATGCTGGCTAGGAATCAAGAAGTAGTTTTCATTACCTAATCTTGTAGCTAAAAAAGAGTTGTCTATATTAATTACTCTTTTGGAGGAACCTCCTTATCTTTGGTCATTTCAAGTGGTGTCCCAGCTTTTTGTTGTTAATCTATGGTAATTGAAATAATATTTAGCTTATGAATACCTCTCTGTCAAACCATGGGGAAACTACCTATCCTAAGATACTCTGCCCAGTATAACTACTCTGAAATAAAACACAGTGTCTGCTTTACTAGAATGCCAATGCTTTGGAGCCCATATTGGTGAATCTTTCTTTAAAGCCAAGCGTCCTTTACATGGAAACCCTGGCTGTTGTAGGAACTCAGTGGGGCGTGAGTACTAGTTGTAGGTAATTGCAGTTTAACTAGTTGTAGGTATGGGGGGCTGGGGATTTAGCTCAGTGGCATAGCACCAGCCTGGCAAGCACAAGATCATGAGTTCGATTCCTGGTACCAGAAAAAAAAAAAAAAAAACTCGTAGGTACAAGGATGAGCTTTGTGGAGAATTTTGACTCCTCCATCCAATTTATTGAATGTTTTCTATGTGCAACATACTACACTATGCCACAAAACATTAAAAAGAAATGTCTGACCCTTTTCTTAAGGAACATGCATTCAGTTTTACAGAGAAAATAGAACCCAACAAGTATGGAATTCCTTGACCCTTTCCCTGTTAAAACGGAGGAGATAGCAATTATATCTTGGGTGAAACCTTATGTCTACAATTTGGATCCCAGTTCATCTTTTTCAGCGTCATCAGGAACCTTAGCATCAGTGGTCCCTTTCTTCCTTGTGTCTTCAGTCTCTACTGGCTTATCCCCATCACCATGGAAAGTGTATATAAGTACCTCTTCCATCTTTCAAAAGGTGTGTGTGTGTACCTGTGTGTATACCGTCCCTTTTCTTTTTAGGCACTTTCTAATGTGAATTCTAATTCCCACTCACTGGCTCCTTAACCTGCTGCAGTCTAGCTTCTGCCTCAATTATTCCACTAAATCAGCTCCAGTCAGGGACACCAGCAACCTTCACAGCTGACTTGTCTGACCGGGTTTGATACTCTTTTATTAATTCTTACTTGGCATCTTGTGTAGCACAGCTTCCTGTTTTTCTGCTTCTCAGGGTGCTTATTCTTGGTCTCCCTTATAAGCTGCTGTTGCATTTTTCTCCCATAAAATGTGATTTACCTTAATGTTCACTCCTAGTCATTTTCTTTTCACCTTTTCTTTTCTCTTTAAAAATTGTGTATTTTTATGATAATCAGTTACCATTTTTGTTGGGGGCATAAAGTCTTCGGGTAGATGTCAGAACATCTATCAGCTCCTTAAAGTTTTATATGAAATTTAATGTGTATGTATAGAGGACTTCACTGTTTATGATGTTATTGGAGGGATTTTAGACTCAAAGAGGGCCAAAAGTAATCATGTCTATTCTGGTGTTTGCCAAGTCTCTGTATCATTATTCTTTCAGTGTTCCAGCCCTAGGGAACCTTTTTCATCTTTTTAGTTCTTTGAACTTCCCTTTCTTCACATTTGTTCATCCCTTGGAATAGTATCCTGTGTGTAATCATTTCCATTTCCTGTCTCTCAGTAATAGCTGACAAGAGCCCTGTAAGTTTTGTACCATGGTGGGGAAAAAAAACCTGTTGTAGGGAGTTTTTTGCTGTGTTTGATACCATTTTTGACGTCTGCTGCAAAGTAGATTTGTCCTTAATTTTACTATGAAAATTTTCAAACATACAGAGAATTTAAAAGAACTATTCAGTGTAAGGAAGCTAGAGGTGTTGCTAAAGGTGTTACTCAAGTTAGTAAATTATGATCAGCAGTGTTAGCAAGGTAGAAAGGTTATTATTAGTATGGAAAAATGAAAGGCAGGTGGCAGGTTATAGCCTGAGTCCATAAATTTGTGAAAAAGCTAGAGCTATAAATGGAAATCTCATAAAGGATAGTCCGTCAATAACTGATAATGGTCCAACATTTCATGCCAGTAAGAGGTGGTTTCACAATTTTAAAGTGAGAACTGGAGTTGATAGCATAACTAGGCATGGGGAAGCAACCATTGCTGATAAAAAGGCTGCTGAAAATTATATACACCGCTTTGAAATGATGACATAGAGAAATGGCTTTTGCTGTCATCAAGTTTTCAGTTGTGATGAAACTGGCCTTTTTTTGGGTGAGTACGTTAGGGAAATTATTGGTGTTTCTGGTAAATTATGCACATTATATAAGCCTTTATTATGAAAATGTTAGTTAAGGGGTGCTTTGGGAGGTTTGGAATGCATTATGGGTATTTACATTATTTTTATGGGAAAAATAGTCTTGACCTACAGCCAGCTTGAGTTGCAGCCAGCCCTCGAGAATGAGTTGAGTTTGTAAATCAAGGGTCCACTGTATACTGGAGAGTTCAAGGCTAGCTTGAGCTATATAGTAAGACCCTATCTCAAACAAACAAACAAAATAAACAAACAGGGTTGAAGAACATAGCTTAGCCTGAGGCCTGGGTTACAATCCCGAGTACCACCACCAAAAACCAATTATCATAGTAGAGTATATTTACTGTACTTTGCAGTCATTTCTTGTTCCTGTCACCCTCAGAAACAGCCACTATGTTTTGATTTTTTTCCATTCTCAATTTTACCTACTCTAGAACTTCACATAAATAGGATTATACCATGTGTTTGGAGCTTTGTTTGATCAGAATAATATTTTGAGTTTTATCCGTTTTGCTGTATGTCCAGTTATCCTTTAGTGTTTATCCTAATAACTGTAATTACCCAAATTGACCCATTTGTCTGTTTTCCTACTGATGAGTACCTGGGCTGTTTCTAGGATTTGGCTGTTATGAGCAGAGATTCTGGGAACCCTTAGGAACAAGTCTCATGCTTTCATTTTTCTTTGAATTGCTGGGTCATAGAGTACATGTATTGAGTTTCTTAAAGTTTCCCAATTCCCGTCTTCTAATGTGGCTGTACCCTGTTACATATCTGCCAGCAACGCAAGAGTCGGCTTGCTCTGCATTCTTGACAGGGATTTGTGTCGACCTTCTTTTTACTGTGCAGGCATCTCATTGTGGCTTGAATTTGCATCTTGCTGATAATAAATGAGATTAATAAGCACTTTTCCTGTGGTTCTTGGCTATTTGTACATCTTGGTGAACTATTAACATGGGTTAGTAGCTTTTGGCTTATTAAGTTGGAGGAAATCTTTGTATATCCTGCGTATCAGTCCTTTGTCAGATACGTATTTTGTGACGTGTTTTTTGACTGTGATCTTCCAGATGATGGGTTATCTGTTCATTTTCTTGATAGTGTCTTTTGAAGAGCAGAAGTGTTTAATTTTGATCAAGCTGTCTTTGTCAGTTTTTTATGGTTAGCTTTTTCTTTGTCCTGTTTGGGGATTTCAAATACTGAATATAATCAGTTGAAAACAGTTTGATGGTTACTTAAAAGTTAAGCTGACACCTACCATCTGATTGGCCTCTCTGCTTCTAGATACTTACTTGAGTAAATTACAAAGATTTTCATTATCTTCTGAAAAAAAAAATTTTTTTTTATAAAAAATGGGGAGTTTTAAAAATTTTGGGTCAGTTTTTTGTTTGATATGGGATGTGGGTTGTAGTTTAAAAGTCAGATAATGCAAACAGTACCACCACCACGACTTTTTATTATTTTTCTTTTTTTTCCTCCCCTCCTTCATTCTCTTTCTGAAAGTTGCGAACATACACAAAAATAGAATTATATAAGGAACCCTCATGTACCCTTCCCCTAATACACGTAATGCTAAAATAAGGGCCTTTCATATTACTCAGGCTCACACCCAACAAAACTAGAATTACTTAGGTAACCTCATCGAGGACATTCCTGTGTCCTTGAAATAAAATATGTGTATGCGTATTTACACTTGTTTTGCTCAGATAAAATCCAAACAGAACTGACGAATTTCATTTGCTTATTATGACTATTGGCCTTTTTTAGTGGTTAACATTTTCGTTCCTCCATCTCTTGTTTTTTCTCCGTACATTTACTTGCTGGAGAAAGTGGGAACTAGTTTTGTACAATGTTCTGTGTTTGTTTGTTCGCTGCCTGTTGTTGACATTTAGCTTACTCCACTGGTCCAGCGGTGCCACACCTATGACCTGCATTCCACAGGAGGATGTCTGTATCATTGAAAGCTCACTGCCCTTGTCCCTCCATTTAGGAAGAAGAGTACTTCCTGTGGCATCACATAGGGCTGTTTTATCTTCTGCTAGTGACGACCTTGATCAGCCGGCTTAAGTGTGGGCAACCTGAGCTTTCCCTTGCCACCGGCAAACCTTTCTTTTAATAGTGCTAGCATTCGTTGATGATCATTGCCTGAGTAAATGAGCTTTGGAGCCATGAAGTGCTTTTAATGCTGTACATGTAGCAGGATGTGGTGCTCAAGTGTAGGAGGTTGAGGCAGGAGGATCACTGTGAGTTCGAGGCCAGTCTAGGCTAAATCGTGAGTTCAAGGCCATCTGAACTACATAGTTGAGACCCTGTCTCAAAAAAACCAAAAAACCATGTATGGAGGTATTATTGAGGCCCTGCTATAATTACAATAAAGTGGGGCAGTATCTGTTTTTGAGCAAAATTCTCAATGGAGTAGTATTTCAGAGGTAGAGCTGCAGATGATAACAAGCTTATAAATTAGGTTGTACATTTCACAGTGAGGATATATGAAGAACTAACAGCTTTATAGCCACAGTAGATTAGAGCTTGTGGCATCAAATCATAGATATGCTAAGATTTCAGGTGACAAAAAAGCATTTAGAAGTGCTTTTGGAGCACTCTTGTTAATGAGCTATCAGAGGTCGGTGATATATGCCGTAATTAGTTTTTGTTCTGTGTTAAGAGAGTTAAAGCAGTTTATGTGGCACATAATGAATCCGTTTGTAGGAATCATCTTTGCGCTCGGACATTAGGAAATTAAAAATTTGAAAATACTGTGTTGGTTTCTTCTCATTGCTGTTGGACACAGCTCCTGGAGCGATGGTTCCGGACAAGTACGTCATGCGTGTTAGCAGCAGGTTGAGCCCCTGGTAGCCTGGAGCCGCTGGAGCCCAGCTCGTGGCTCCGCTGTGCTCGTTCTGTGTTTCACCCAGGGTGAGAAGCAGCTGCTGCTCCCCGCTGTGCCCCAACCCTGACTGTGCCCTGGACACAGGGCCAGTCCCCTGGAGGGGAGGGAGCAACTGGAGTGCCCCAGGGCTGGGGAGCCTGAGGCTGGCTTCTGCCTCTACTTCCCCAGCACCACAGGGCGAGAAGCGGTGGGTAGCGGAACAGCAGGGCATTGCGTCAAGGGTCTGCACAGGGCCACCCCTGTCTGTAACCAAGCAGTCGGGGTCTGCAGCCTGGGCCTGGCCCCTACAGCAGGTCTGTGGACAGGCAGATGTGCCTGTTTGTCTGGAGAGCCTTTGTTCCTTGGCTTCTTCACACATCAGAGCCCAGACTCTGGAGGATGGGTGGCTTTTGGAGCCAACGAACACTGACTTCTTGAAAAACTGAAAAGTGTTTCTAAAAGCAGTTGATACTATGCAACGTGAAAATTTTCTCAGTGATATATTAACTCATTTTTTTCTTTAATAGGAAAATAAAAAATATTTCAAACGTAGTGAACTTGCAAAAAAAGAAGAGGAAGCATATTTTGAAAGATGTGGCTATAAGGTATGAATGACAGCTTTTACGTTGAATTGTGTATTTCTGAGTTTAAATTTATACAGCTGTTGTTAAAGGACAAAATTATTGATCTCTGTTCAATTTATCAATGTTATATATTAGCCTATAAGTGAGAAGCCATCTGGAGAGGTATGAGTTTTTGTTTTTGCTTTTTTAAGAAATAATTTTTGAATTCAGGAAAATACATGCATGATTTTCGGCTTGGAATGGTTTGGCTTTTGTGGACAGCATGAAGTGGCTTGAGATGAAAGCTTGAATTTTTTTTTTTTATATATAAGTCCTGGATCTGATACTGTCTTATTTCATCTGCTCCACTGCTCCTTGCCCCCACCTCTCCCAATAAAACTGTTTCCAAAGAGTTCAAAACATCTTGTTACGGATTGTTCAACTGCAGTGATGTCCGCAATGGTAGTTCTTCCCCTGCTTTCTCCTGAACATTGAAAGCCATGATTTTATGTTCTCATTGTTAATCATTCCTTCTGGGCCCAAACAGAGTAGTTCTTCTGGACATAACCCACAGACACTTACCTGCTTTTGTTGTAATAAGGTGCGACATTTCTGATACTGCTTAGTCTGCTGGACAGAAAATGTAATTGTGAAATACCGTTTTTTAAAAAATGAGATACGTGAAAAGCTTTGCTTGTATAGTTTAGAAGCATAATAAAATATTTTTGAGATCGCCTAGTTGATGATATACTGGGGTTTTTATTGGAAGGGGTTAAAGGTGACAAGGTGGAGAAGTTACATTTAAGTTATATTAAAAGAAGACAAGGTGAATAATTTTAACGCACAGTTAAGAGGTGCTTTTGAAATACTACTTCTAACTCAAATTTGAAATCAACATTTTGCTTGTGAAAGGTCAATATGAAGTAATACTCTCGTGCATGTAATAGGAAAAATTGTAGAAATTAATTTATGTGACAGCATTTCTAAGGAAGCATGAGGAATGCAGATGGTGCACATAATGTATTTGGCTTTACTGTATAGTATTGGGGAAGGCAAGGATTAAAGGAGAATGTAGTTATACTTCTGATAGGCTTTTTAATATGAAAGTTTGAATTTTTGTACTTTGATATTTTTCGATAAAGATGCTGATGTCATTGGCTTCTAGTTCAGGAAATAAGAATGTTTTAGGTAAATAGACAGTGAGTAGATACTTAGAAGTCTTCTTACTTTTTCCCAGTTCCCTTCTGTGTTTATTCTCCAGTTTAGTTCTTTGTATCACTCTTCTTAGTTTGTCTAGTGGTAGAAGTAGTGTGTGTGTATGTGTGTGAGAGAGAGACGGAGACAGAAGATTGAACCCAGAGGGTGCTGAGTTACATCCTCAGTCCTTTTTATTTAATCTTGATACACTCTTGCTGAGTTGTCCAGCAGGCTTTGACCTTGCGATCCTCCTGCTTCAGCCTCTTGAGTAGCTGGGATTACAGGTGTGTGCCACTGCTCCCTGCTAGAATTCTTAATTTTTTGCTCCCCTAATATTGCCTAGCTCAGGCTTGACCTAGAATAAGAATCATTACCATAAAAAAGAATTATTACCATAAATGAGTCTGTTGACTCATTTGTATTTTCAGTTCTCTAAATTCAAATCTTTTAAACTTTTTGAAAAGGTTGGAAAATGTAGTGTGGGATCAGTTTTTGCCGTGTCCACTATCGGGTGATATAAGGGGCCCGTTTTGTTTATGTGGAGGAATGCACTGGATCAAATTTACAACTGTGATGACATTGCTTGGCACTTGGAGTCCAGCTGACAGAGCCTCTTGGATCTTTTCCCCAGAGCCATTAACTACCTTTATATAATTAAAAATGCTTTCTGCTCGAAGTTCTGCGGAAAGAACCTGTGTATGTGCTAAGAAACGACAAGTGTTTCTTTCTAAAACTTCTTAGTACTTCCTTCTGGGTGGCAGTGACGGTGTCCTATGCATTGCTTTTATTCCTTTATGGGAGCTAGTTACTATTTTTACCTTTTTTGTGTACCGAGAGTTGAACTCACAGCCTCGCCCTGGCCGAGCGGACGCGGTGCTGCCGAGCTGTGTCCCCCAGCCCTGCTAGTTACTGCTTTAAGGCTCAGTGGTGATCTGACCTGTGGAAATATGGAAAGTCCCCCTGCTTTTATCTCAGTGTCAGTTAGTAATGATGAATTTTTTACACATAAACTGTAGAGTCAGGAGTTACATGATTTTTACCCTATAGTTCTTTAATTGAATGTATTTTTCTTGATGTTGACCTCTTAATGTTCCTTTGGCAGTTACCCATCTGCAGCATTTCGGGTTTGCCTGGGTAGATGAGAAACCACTCAGTATCTTTTTATAGACCACGCACTGGGTTTATAAATTGCAGCTTTGTGAGATTTGAGAAAGTATGTGTATACCCCTCCCCATCATGTGGACAAGAATACCTGCTCTTTCCGTGGGTGGCTGTGTAGAGGGGGCATTTTTCATTATTTTTCTGCAAGGTTTGTAGCTCAGTTTGTGGGCCAGCTCTGCATAGCATTGGAAATTTTTCTCCTTCCAGTAGTGACTTCTCCACCATTGGAATACCTTTCAAAAGGAAAAAGGGAAAAACTAGAGCTTTAAGCTTCACACACTTTTTGGGACGCAATTCTTTTCTTTAGTTTTCATTTTAAAGCTGAGCAGTAGTCAGTCCAGTAAGACAGTTTCTCAAGAGGAGAAGCAAATTGTTTTAAAGAAAAAACTGCACACCTCAGAATCCAGGGAGAATGTGAGCGAGAAATCAGTGCTTTTGAGTTTTGATTTTGGAAACCGGTAAAGTTATGTCATTCTTTTATACAAGAACTAACCTCCTATGTGCATGCCTCCTACTTGTGATGCTCCTGAAGTGGATGTTTGATACACTCTTAAGAGCATGTACACTTACTAGGAGCTTTTTCCTCAGGAATGTTCAGAGAACTTTCTGTATTTTAATGTGTTTAATTTCCATGAATAGCTAAGGTGAGATAATGACAAATATTAACTCTGTTTTATAAGCTGAATTTTACTTATTTTGGGTATTAATATAGATGCCACCTAAAGAAGAGGACCAGAAACCACTAACTTCATCAAATCCAGTATTAGAACTTGAACTGGCGGAAGAAAAATTACCCATGACTCTCTCCAGGCAAGAGGTAAGTTTACATATGAGTATTTTGTGGAAAGAAAGAAAGCTCTCCCCAGTATATAATTGATGTGTCACTATTTCCTGTAGAAGGTGACCTGTACACCTAAGACAGTTTTCTTCATGAGATTCTAAGTTAACCTCTGCTTTTTTGCTTGATAGTATTATTTTACTTTTCAAAAAGAATATACATTGTAGTAAGCATATATGTTCTAAATAAATATAATTAAATTCATGTATTCTAAATAATTACAAATTATTATGTCTAGATTATTTTAAGCAATATTTTGCTGCTTACCTTCCTCTTCTTGTTTACTTATATGTCTTTCCAGATTAAAACAGCTGTATACTTTTAGTACTGTGTAATTTCCCATTGTGTGTTCGCACCTTAATATTTTTAAAACCAGGTTCCCGGTACCAGAGAAAAACCAAAAAAAAAAAAATAATAAAATCCATGTTTCAATTTTAAGATAAAATATGCAGACTGTTTTAAGATGTTTAGTTTTTTCTTCGTCATAAGTTAACTAATCTGTTGGGCATTCGTGTCTCTGTATAGGTAATCAGAAGATTGAGGGAAAGAGGAGAGCCGATTAGACTGTTCGGCGAAACTGATTATGATGCTTTTCAGCGATTAAGAAAAATAGAAATCCTCACACCAGAAGTCAACAAGGTGAGTCAAGCCAGAACTGGAAAAATGCATAGAGCACATAAACTGGAATAGTTTGGAGTTTGACTGGTGGCATTATTATAGGCAAAAAAGGGAAAATAGTTACCACTATTTTCTTTAATCTAAGAAGAATGTATCTTTATCCTACAGTGGAGGACATTCTGCCAAATGTATACACCGCCCTTCTCAAGGTACAGAAGGCTCTCGTTACCTTGGGGCGCCCCCAGGGACCCTTCTTGCCAGTGCTCATCTTCCTCCTTTACCCCTGGGCAGCCGCCGTTTGGAACTCCGCTGCTGCTGCTGGGTCTGGCTGGGTCTGCTAACGGAGTGACGCATACAGTGTGCATGTGGTTTTTTTTGCTCAACATAACAGGTTTTAGTTTTAGCCGTGCTATTGCGGACGTCACTAGTTTGCTTTTCATTGCCCTGTGATAGTTACATGAAGATGCCACCTTTTATCTTACTCATTAACTGGATTGTTGTCTTTTTGTTAAGGACTTTAGAAGTTCTGTAGATATTCTAGGTTATGCCCTTTGTCAGGTAACAGATCTGCTTTGTGAATGTTTTCTCTTAGTCTGTGGCTTATTCTCCCAGTGGAATCTTTCGCTGGACAGTTTTAAATTTTGATGAAATTCAGTTTGCTAGCTTTTCCTCTTACGGTTGTTGCTTTTTTATTTTTTGCCTATCCCAAGGCCTCTAAGAAATAGTCTTCTCTTTCAGAAGCTTCGTAGTTTTAGCTTTTACAGTGGAGGCTTTGATCTTGTTTTATGGCTCAATGTGTGTCTGTCCCACAGATTCTTGAGTAGAATTTACCTTTGCCTTGGTTGTATGGTTCTACAGATGCCAATTATGATAGTTTCTCCAGTCTTCGGTGTCCTCTAATTTGCTGTCAGTTACCGAGAAATGGAGATGGTTATTTGTAGCTGTGTGACAGACCACCCCAAGTTTAGTCACGTAAAACAGTCTGTTAATGTGAAGTCTCTTGGCTATCTCTGACTGTAACAGGTCACTGTGAAGCGTGGTAGTCTGAGATAGTGCGTCATCTCTCACAGCTGTGTGGTTGATCGGGCTAAGCTGTGCAGTCTTTTGCTTAGGGTCTTCGATGTGATTGTGTCAGCGAGGGTGTGCAGAAGTCACCTGAGGACTCCCGGGATGGGTCCTCGCAGGTGGTGCCGGGCTTCCGCGCTGGAGCAGCAGGAGTGGCAGGGGCTGGCCAGGCATCGCTTCTGCACGTGCTGTTTGCTCATTTGCCTTCCTGTTGGCCTTGTTTGTGGGTAAACTGCTTTCCTGCTTCACTTCTCAGCGTTGCTGGTCCAGTGCCGTGGCCCTCACAGTTGCCTGAGTGCTTTCAGTCCTCTGTGTGTGCGATCCGTTTCCTGGGCCTGTGATCTCTCCGTGCCTGGTTGTGGCTGTTCTTACCCTGCAGACACAATTCAGTGATGACGCCTTCTCTCATCTTGCCGTGGTCCCAGTCAGAAGTACTTGCTTTCTTTTCTGTATGCCTTTAATAGACTTTTGTCTGTGCGTATTTACCTCGTCCTGGTGGGCTGGGCCGTGCTGTTTCTCTGCCGAGTCTAGCGCTTTGCGTGAGTACAGGACCCAAAGCCTGGATTCCACCCCAGGGTAATAAATATTAATTGTGTGACCACCGACAGGTCTTTAATCTGCTTGTGCTGTAGAGACCTCACCTGTAGAATAGAGGCAGTGGTGTCTGCTCACCGGGACGTTGTGAGGGTTAATGGAATAATGTTGGGGAACCTCAGCCTTACACAGTATACACAGCAAGTATCCCAGTCAGTGTCTGCTCATTGAAGCTGTTTTGAGTTGAATGTTTATGAAAGGACAGCAGAAAAAAGATCAGATGCTTTTAATATAATGTTAAGTGTTAGCATTTGTTGAATGCTGATTGTACTTCAGTGACTTGAAAGTGCACTGGACACTTACTGTGTTTGCAAGGCTTTTGAAACAGTCCTAATACACAGTAAACGTTAAATGAAATTTAAAAAATAGAGCTCTCCTGACAGCTATACATCATAGACAGTTTTGTTCCCACTTGAGGCATGTGGGGTAAAGAGCCTTGTCCAAGCGCTAGATAGGCCCAAGGAATTGAACCCAGCCCCGCTGCGACGCTGACATCATCTCACAGCCATGATGTATGTTGCTTTTAACCCTCACAGCTGATTTTTTTTTTTTTTTGTCTTTTTGAGACAAGGTCTCACTATGCAGTTCAGGCTGGCCTTGGACTCACTTTGTAGCCCAGGCTCCTCCTGCCTCAGCCTCCCGAGTGCTGGGATTACAGGCTGGCACCACCATGCCCGGCTCACAGCTGATTTTCATTCATGTTGACAAAATTGAGGCTTTTTGTTTTTTAAAACATTCAATAGTCATGGGTATACATGGAATATGGAATTTGCCAGTTCGTTACGAGACAAAGTTGAGAGCGTACAGATGAGACACCAGCTTTATTCCACAGATACTTGTGAAGCTTTGGGGTTGAGAGTAGTTGAAACGAGGCTAGACATTTTAAGTGAACTGGGAATTGCGGACTCTGATGGGGCTTGATCACTTTTCCCACCAAGGCTTATTAAACAGTCTCAGCATTTGTGAAGATACTTCCTAGATTTGTTACTCGGGTCTATTTTATTTTTCTAGCCATCTGCTGACATTATGTATAAATTCCCTTAATGTAAATATATTTGTAGGAATTAATTTGGAGTGGACAGTGATGGTATTATTATAGACAGTATAATAAATTGATACATTATTTGAGTCCGTTCTGCCAAATTCTTAACTAGAATTCTCTCTTATGGAGAGAAAAACAAAATATAACTCTTATTAAGGAAAAAGCAAAGTGTAATGTCCTAATAGTTACTCTTTCTCTTTGACCTTTCTTAGGGCTTGAGGAATGACCTAAAAGCGGCTTTGGATAAGATTGATCAGCAGTACCTCAATGAAATTGTGGGTGGTCAGGAACCTGGAGAGGAAGACACTCAGAATGATTTGAAAGTGCACGAAGAAAACACCACAATTGAGGAGTTAGAGGTAATCCCTGCCTCCCTCCCCGCTGCGCCCCGTCACTCTTCCCTGGAGCCCATGTCTGACTTGTTAGAGCCTCACCGCAGGGCATGCTGCTGTCTTGGACCGATGCCAGGGCTCCGCTTAGCTCTGTACTTTTATTCTTATTCTCACTCTGTTCATACTCCCCTACTTCTTGCCTTCAGAGGTAGCCATTGCTATGTGTTTGATGAACACCTCTTACTTGCTGGTGCTCTTGCGCAGCCTGCAGTAGTGTGTGTGTAGGTTTTTAATTTACATAAGTAATGGCACGTTGTGATGCTCTTCATTTCTTTTTCTGATCATCTTCATCAGCACGTGTGTAGTGCGTAACATTCGCAGCCCTGGCGTGGAGTTGGCGCCTGTACCTAGTGTACCTCCTTCCTGTTCTCAGTCCCTTTCTCTCCCTCCCCTCCATCTTGCTCGCTTCCCCTTGGATATAGGTCTGTGTACTTGCTATTATCTACCTTTTATTTTGCTCTCTATTTATATTTTGAGTTTCTGTTCTTTATTTTTTACCTTTTCCTTTCCCTTTTTTACTTCATTCTACTTTAAAGATCCATCCTGGATGCTTCAGGTACATTTAATTCTTCACTTGAATTGCTAAATATTATCACATTCACTGTATTTTTCTTTTTGTCCCCCAATAATGATGGAAAATTGGATTATTCTGAGTTCAGTATTAACTACAAACGGCTTTGTGATAAACAGACCTACAAAACCACTGTGGACTGAAGCTGCAGGATTTGGGGATTTGTGCGTGTGTATATAACCTGTCAGAGTACTGCCAAATTGCTTTCTGGCATGACTGTCCCCCACCTACACGCCCACCAACAGCTTGTGAGGGACTTACATCCTTACATCCCTGCCAACACTTAGCAATATCTTGCTTTAATTTTACCACTCTGTTGAATGCGGGATGATATGTGTAATCTTAACTAAAAATCATGTAAGTATCTAGTGTGTAAAAAAAAATACAGTTTAACGTCTTTTAATGCTTAATAAAACATGAGCTGTTACTTGTTGTTTCCTGTAGTTGCTGGTGCTTGCACAGGTGGCAGATTGTGGTGGAAGATGTCGTCTTCGTCATCTCCCTTCCCCCACCACCTGTCTCGGGTGGTCCCAGCGCTTCACTGGAGTAGCTGGTTTGGTCAGCCAATCGTTAGGCCAACCCTCCTTCCTTCCTTTTCTTTCTTGTTCTTTTTAAAAGCAACTTTATTGAGATAGTCACGTGCTGTGGAGTTTATTTATTTTAAATGCACAAGTTGGTAGTTTTTTGATACATTTTCAGAGTGGCACGGCAATCATAGGCTAATTTTAGAGCATTTTCGTTGCTCCCAAAAGAAATTTCTTGACCATTAGCAGTCGTTGTCCTTAGCCCCTCTTGTCTTCAGACACTGAAAGACAACATGCTTTCTAAATATAAGTGGCAAATCACTCTATCTTTGTTTTTTTACTTGTTTAGAAATTGCAGCAGGTTTTTAGAGCAAAATTGCACAATATCTGTGACAAACAGCTTTGTGTAGCCTGCCTGTGTGTTCAGTGCTTGTGCGAATTCGGTTGTTGGTCTGTGCTAATGAACGGACGCGATGTTTCTTTTCCTCAGGCCTTAGGAGAGTCTTTAGGAAAGGGCGATGATCATAAGGACATGGACATCATCACCAAATTCCTGAAGGTTCGTATCTTCTGCCTGGGAAGGGGAGGACGTTTTGAATACTTAAAAATGTGTCTTGTATTTTTAGGTTAGCAAGTGGCAAAGGTTATCACTAAATATTTGTGCGAATATTTAGGTTACCAATAAGTATTTGTGCACATACTTTGTGGTATCCCTGTGTATTTGCACGAAGCGGTTAAAGAAAGAAAGTGGATGTTTAGGTTTTCACAGCTCTTCTTTTGCAAGTTGATTCACTAATGTAAGTGCGTAGGAAAGAATCTCAACAGCAGAATAAACAAGTGTGGAGGCGTGTTGGCATTGTGGAGACACCCTAGGAAAGTGTGCAGCGAGGGTTCCGGGAGCTTGAATGAGGGGCGGGAAGGAAGGAAAGGGAGGAAGAGGAAGGGCGTTGGCAGTGCAGAGGGAAACACACCTGTCACCTTGGGAGACTGTTCCTTTCTTCAGTTCTACACCAAGGCCCCGTCCCGTTTTGCCGTGATTGCTAATTCCGTCTGGTTTCTAAGCATTCCTCTGTCAGTGGGTTAGAGTGCCAGCAGTTCAGGGCGCTTTGATGTTTACTCACAAGCGCTGTTCAGACCAAGGTTTAAATGCAGGGAGTGCTTTGACTTTCATTTGCATTTTGAAGACTTTGCAGTCATCAAGGTTCTAAAATAAATTGAAGACACTGCACCCCAGAGACCGGGAGGGGAACTGTTGTGCGGTTGTCTTTATCTCTGAGCACCGGAATCGTGTCCGCCTGAGCCTTTGCTGCCACTCGGGTGGGTGTTGCTGAGACACCGTGGGCTCTGGGACTGTTTTCTGGGGGTGGGAATAAGAAAGAAGGAGTGGATCATGGTCTGTTTTATTTTTATGCCTGTTTTCCCTTTATTCTCCATTAGTCAGGTGCTTTAGTGGAAATTTTTAATTGTCTGTACTATGGAAGTAGAAAGTCTAAATGCTATAATATATGCCGAGGACGTTAAATATACAGTGAATATGATGTACTGTGAACGATAGATTTACATTGGTTGAATTTTATGTAATAGGTAAAAGTAAAAAAAGCACAGTGAAAGTTTATTTCAAGCAGTTAAAAAATTTGATAGTACTTTTTTGAGTATTTATCTTGAGCCAGGACCATAATGCACAGTCTAGGGGAGTTTGTGACTCGGTAAAACATGTACTTTGAACTTTTTGAACCACTAGGTGGCATTGTAGTCTCAGTGTACTGCTCTTTCAACAGTTTTTGCTTGGTGTTTGGGCTAAAGAATTGAACGCCAGAGAAGATTACGTGAAACGCAGTGTGCAGGGTAAGCTGAACAGTGCCACGCAGAAGCAGACCGAGTCCTATCTCAGACCACTTTTCAGAAAGCTCCGTAAAAGGGTGAGGATTCCAGAACACGGTTTTGTGAACTACTTTGGAAACTTAGAATATACAGATACAGAATAAATGACATTTGTTTCTCTCCACATATAGTAGCTTCCAAAATCAGTGATGCTTTTCTTTCTTTTTTCAGAATCTTCCTGCTGATATTAAAGAATCAATAACAGATATTATTAAATTCATGTTGCAGAGAGAATATGTGAAGGTACGCTTTTAATTACACTATGCATGACATTAGTATGAGCCCATCTGGGTTATGTGCTTAATATAATGCTGTTTGGGATGGGAGAGTGTTTCATAGTACATTTAAGAATAAATCAGCTGGGCGTGGTGGCGCATGCCTGTAATCCCAGCACTTAGGAGGCTGAGGCAGGAGGATTGTTGTGATTTCGAGACCAGCCTGGGCTACAAAGTGAGCCCAAGGCCAGCCTGAGCTGCATATCAAGACCCTGTCTCAAAAAGAAAAAAAAAAAAAAAAAAATCAGAAGTCAGCTAGTAGAAAAAAATTTATTCTGTGTTATTTTCTCAGCATTCTTGTTGGGCCTTGACTGACAGAGCTTTAGTCTAAACTGTATTTCCGTGGTCATTTTTAATGTAGGGTGAAAGACTTCAGAGTGCAAGCTGAATGGAGGCAGTGTTTGCTTTATGAATGGACTGAATTTCAGAGTTCCTAGATGGCTAGTTCTGACTTAAAACAAATTTTCCCATGGAAACAGTATTGTATAGATTGATTTCCTGGAGCAGCTGTAAAAGCCCATGTAATATAATATAGCTGAACACGGGCTGGTGATCCCGTGGAGGTTCGCCACTGTCCAGCGACGTCTCCGTGGGAGAAGGGCCAGGGCTCCTCTGCCTCGGGGCAGCACTAGCAGAGCCCTGTGGAGCGCCGCTCTGCCCTGCTGCCTCAGCTGTGAGCAGTGGAAGGGCCCTGGGGGACTGCAGCGGAGCGGGGGGTGGCCTAGGACCTGTGGGGAGTGTTTGGAGGGATGGGGAAGGCACTCTGTTGGTAGAGGCGACAGAGAGAGAAGAGCTGTGCGCTGGCACCAGGGATGGAGATGTGACCGTGTGGCCGGCCTCCCAGACGCTGGGAGGGGAGGTTTCAGGGCGGCAGCCCTGAGCGGCGGCCCGCATCCTGGTACTGGGGGAGGGGCTGCTGGGTGCTGCGTAGTTGGTGTGACGAGGGCATCAGGCTAACGGTTTTACTCTTTGTAAGAGCCAGTTAGTGCTCTCAGAAAGCACACTGTTTGCTTTGTAGTTATAAACTGCGTCCTTGGTTTCTGTGGGCTGCATGACTCTAAGGGTAATTGCTTTGGAATAGGTGGGTAGGTCCTCGTCCCTGCGGAAAGCACTTCACGGCTTCTGCCTGCTAGAGTGGATGCCCTTCCTCTTGTTGTGATGTCCTCAGGATTACGTATCATGACCAAGCGAAAGCTTTTGTGTAACCACAGAAGTAACAGAAATAACCCGTAACCTTTAGTAATGTGTTTGGACCGTCCTCTTTGGGATTTTAGGAAAACGGAATACTGGAGCTTTTACCAGGTCCAGAGTTAAAGTTTACACCCATGAGAAATGACACAGCTGTGTGTCTACCCTGTACTGAGCAGAGCAAGTTCAAATATATCTGCAGGGTAGAAGATGATCTCCTAGTTTACCTGTCTGTAAAGGTTAATTTCTAAAACCAGCTCTACATATCAATCACATGTAGGTGTTTGATTTTTGAAACCGACATCTCTTTGAGGCCTGCACTGCAGCCCTGAGGGTCTTTCAGCATTTATTTGCTGTCTGTTTTTTCTCATTTCCCTATAGCTAGCCAGACTTAATTTAGAAAAAAGGCCATTTGTTTTCATTGGTTTCTGTCTTCCTTTTCAGTAAGTTTTACTTTGGATGGGTGGGGGCCGAAGTGGAAAGTGAACCGCTGCTACCCTTAGCTGGCTGGCTCCTGGGCCAGTATTCGGTCTCCGGTTACACGTCTGTTATAGGCCCCGGGGGGTCGTCCCAGCTGCTTCCAGAGGCCTCAGTGCTGTGCAGAGTGCACCACGATTTCAGGCTGCAGGCTGAGAAGCCAGGTGGCCTCTGCCTTGCTTGGGCCACCTGTAGAGAAGCCTGGACTGGAGTTAGTGCATCGATGAGCTGCCTGCGAATTCCAGATCTGAAATGTATTAGTTTTCCGGGCGCAAAGCCTGGGGAGGAATACCTGTCCTTTTCACTCACAACTTTAGCTTTGGTTTGTTTTTCTGTGGGCGTTTGTGGTCCTGAGCAGGGGATCATTTCATATTTTAGTTTCTTTTATTTCAATGACAAGAATGTAATATTTTCAGCAAACCCAAGAGGTGGATGAAAATTGTCATAAAACTTTAGACCAACGCAGTATTTTTTGCCTTTCTGATCTCTTAAACTTTCCTTTCAGGCAAATGATGCTTACCTTCAGATGGCCATTGGAAATGCTCCCTGGCCTATTGGCGTCACCATGGTTGGTATCCATGCTAGAACTGGCAGGGAAAAGATTTTTTCCAAGCACGTTGCGCATGTATTAAACGATGAAACTCAGCGGAAATATATTCAGGTAAGCAGTTTGGAGGGACACCGTTTGCCATAAACGCTCTTAAGTCGCAAAACTTACAAGTTTTAAGAGCACAAACAGAACTGCAGCAGCTCCTCCTATCTGTGGAGGTCTGTCTCGAGAACCCCAGGGGATGCCTGAAATCTTGAGTAGCACTGAATCTTTTGTATGATAATGTGTAATTTATAAGTTAAACCTGCAGGTGAAGGAGGGCTGCAGTGTAGTAGGTAGGGTCGGGTACAGTAGAGTGAAAGTGCGCTCTTGGTAAGCACTTGTATGTCAGACATACTCGCTAGACATCCTTTGCCTTTCCTGTATGATGGAAGATAGGGTGAACTGTTACACTTTGTCTTAGCACTGAGATAGAATTATTTGCAGTTTGCTTTTAAAAATACACAATTGGGGAGTTCAGTGAAGAGCAACAAATTTAGACTCTAAGCCCAACTTTACTTTTGTTGGAGATCATGTCTGCTAGGCTAAAAAGGTGTGGAGAGTAAAGACCTGGCCTCAATGCCAGCAGTCACTTTAAGGGGCAGTAATAGAACTCTTCTAGTTACGTGACTAGATTAGAATGTTTATAGTCATTTTCTTAAAATTATACATACCTCACATAAACTTGCTTTCACTGTTGTTGGGCTAAACTTTTCTGAGGATGTGGTGAAGGGGAAAAAACCGACTATAATCTAGCTTTGCCAGATTGTCATAAATCCCAGATATCTGCATAATGACCTTCGGTGGGTGACAGTTTTAAAATTTGAAGCTGATAAGGCAGAAGTTTACTTAAAATTTAAAGTTCGCTTAAAATACATAAAGTGCTTCCAGGTTTTATGCCAGAGAACAGTTACTACCATATTCATGAATTATCTTGTTTGTGTCTCGGTTCCAAGTGCCAAATGTTAGTTTGTATGTCATGCTTTATGCCTCTTTCACATGGATTAGCATTTTAAATATTTCAACCTGCCTTCCCAATGCCAGTTACAGACTTTAGAGTTCAGTTACAGTTGGGCAAATTCAAGCACAGCTGCATTTCTTAATAGCCACCAGTGATTGTATTAAAGGCAAAAGCTTTTAGTTGAGGATAAAAAGAGTTTCTTGATTTTAAATCTAGGATACAGTTTTCATGGGCTCCATCTACAGCATGGCCAGAGCTACAGCATGTACTAATTCATATAGTAGATACATTTTCTGAAAGACAACAGTCTGGGTCCAGTAGTACCCTTGGGGTAGGGTGTAGTCAGGGCTCATAGCTTGCTGGTGAGGGAAGTCGGGAGCACTAATGGGTCCATGTCTCATCAGGTGAATGCCGGTGACACACGGCAGAGCTCTTAGCAGCCTCAGTGCTGTCCTGGGGCTGTGCGAGCGCAGGGTCAGAGCCAGTTGGTGCTTAGGCTCGCTGTTGTGAGAGTCACTTTATTGTCACAGCAGGAATTTAGTTCTGGTGTCATTAGACATTGATTTTCTTTTTATGAGAAGCTGTAATCTTGGCTTTTTTTAAAAAAAATATGGTCCCTTATTTTTAAAACATTGGCCTCAAATTTTTCAAAAGTAAGCATCTTGGGAGGTTAAGCAAAAGACCAATTTGTGATCCGTGCCTCAAGATAAACCCAGAGTGCAGCTTAAGCAAAAGAAGGTTGGACAGTTTAGGGAAATTCTTTATTGCCACTACCCGAGTACTAGGCTGTCCTGTGAATCTTCTTCTTGTTACTTTGGTATTTGGTGAGGTTGATTTGAAGTACCCTACAAAAGGGAAATACTTAAAGTTTAAATCAGGAGTTGGCAAACTTTTTCTTGAAGAATCAGATAGTAAGTGTTCTAGGCCATCTGCTTCCCGCCATCTCTAATCCAGCTACTGACCCCAGAAGCTGTAGTGTCCACGCAGCCAGTACTATGACCCAGGGACACTGTAAGAGACAGGCAGCCTGTGGCCCACAGTTTGCTGATACATAGTAATTATATAAACTCAAATCTTCTCTGCTAAAATATTTGCTAAGGAAGTCATTGTAAAATTAATTTAATTGAATAATTATTTCTTGTTAGATTGAGGTATATTTCAGCAAATGCTATAATGCTCAGTGTGTACAACTAACCTTAGTTATATAGCCTGTGATTCTTGATACGTGTTACCCCAAGCTGTGACGCAGGATCAGGTGTAGAACATTGCTGCAGCACCCAGCAGCTTCCTTCATGTCTGTTCCCATCCCACGGCTCTTCCTCCTGTCAGAAGTGACTGCTGTTCTGATGCGCCATTACTGTTTAGTTTTGCTTCTTAGACGTCATGGAAATGGAAACTGGGAACATGAGGATCAGTCATTACTTTTAGTAGAAATGCTGGTGTGATACTTGTTTTATGGAATGTGGTACAGAGCAATCAGGAGACTTTCACTGGAGTGTGATTTCTTCTTTGGTTTTCATGTAGACCTCAGTAGATGTAAACTGTGGAAGTTGTTTGAAGTGTTCTTTTTCATTAAAACTAAAGACACCACAGGGAAGGTTTTCTCATTATATGGATCAAAGAAAAGTTGTATAGCTTATTAGTGCATTTTACGTCTGGGGTTAGATTTACATTGGTGGTAGTGACTTTAAGGACTTTGTTCACTGTACTGAAATACAGGTAGGACTTTTTGGCCCAGATACCAAACTTCTTTTACATGGTCTTTAGGAAGCTCTAGATTATTTGGAAACTGTTACTCAGTCATTTTCAAACATCTGTTGGAAGAGAAGGAAGGTGAACGAAGGAAGGAAGGTGAAGCAAAATGTGCATCAAAGGCTTGTTGACCCCTGTGAGTCCTCCTCACCCTTCTTCAGCTAGTTCTGCTTGCTCTGGAAACCTGACTTTATGCATAACATTGACGGCCTGCTCCCTTGCCCTCTGGCTTCTTGGTAGGGCTGGAGTGAGAGGGCCTGGGAGGTTGTTGTGTTGTAGAGAACAGGTCTGGACTCTGTTTCCTTGGTTCTTCCTGTAGGTGCCGCACTCTTCGGCCCAAGGTCGTTGCTTCTCTTAGGTGACTGTTTCCCTCTGACAGACAGTAACCTTCTCTGGGCTTCGCTGACTACTCCCCTTCCCTCCCGCCGCAGCACTCCGCCTGCCACAGCTAAGGGTACTGCTGTCCCTTGGTGCCCACCCCTTTGTAAAGTCCTTAGAGCTGCTGCCGTCAGAATGTCCACTCTGAGTGTGGCCTTTGTGTCCTGGTATCCTCTCCTATGTACGTAGACTGTTTGCCCGTGCTGTGTGTTACACACAGATTTCTTTAGGGGTTAGAAGATGAAGGAATAATACTCGTTCCAAATGATTTTTCTTAAGCTTTTGCAATTGCAAAAGGAAAAATACTCTGTAGCATTCTTCTCGATTTGTTTTCTAGCGAATTGTTTTCAGTAACCTTAAATTTGTAAATTGTACAAGACAGTGTTCCAACATTTCACGTCAGGTGTGTGTGTTCCTATCTCAGGTTTAGCGTATTTCATCTGCTCTAGCATTTACTCACTTTAACGTCCATAGGACATTTGCAGATTTCTAATGTAGTCACGTATTTCCAAAGTTATTCTAATGAAAGCATTGCTCGTTGCAGTAAGTGATCACAGCGTGGCCCTCTGTGGTTGCTGGAAGTGCTTCCCGTGCGCCAGCGCTCTTATTATAATACACATTTGTAGGTCAGGTGGCTTTGTGCTGTAGCCTGGTGTTCTTGGCTTTGGTGAACCGTTTCCTAAGAGCAAGTTGCTGCATGGTAAGAGCTCCCTACCCATGTGATACTTCATGGAGTATTAACGCAGTACATTTTAAGACAAAAGTATTGCTAGTGTTTATTTTTTACAGATAGCACCATTTATTTAGCATCACAGAACACCAGTGTGTTACAGAATCCCACCTTGAGCAGTGCTGATCTAAATTGTACCATGCTTTTGCTTAAGGTGGCAGCTTACTTGCCAGGAAATAGGCAGTTAAATATATTAAATCTTACGTTTCTCAACCACATATATAAAAAAAGGCCACATTACCCTCCGCTAGGAAAGGCTGGTGCTTATGTAAATGTCATCTTTCCCAAAATTAGAGAAAAGGAATAGGACAGTTAGAAAGGATCAAGGGTTACACTGCCGTCGTACTTCTCATTAGTGCCACGGGAAGGTAGAGGGTGGCCTTCACCATAGCAGGTGAAAGAATTTCTGATGTAGGAGTCCCTTGCTAGCTGAGCCGTCAGTCAGAGGTGAGCACAGGCTAATGGTGCTTCTGGCAGGTAAAGTCTCCAAGCGGAGACCCCTCACGTTTGTATTCTCTGGGGTCAACGGCGGGCCCTTACACCGTGCGCTTGACAGCAGCAGAGTACGGTGGGTGTTGCCATTTCCCTGCTGCAGAAGTAGGAGAAGTGGGGCGCAGAGAGACAGCTTCCAAGCCCCGCAGCTAGTAAGCGGTGGAGTTGGGATTTGAACACAGGACTCTTAGCTCAGTTATGGTTTGCTGCCTCTGCTTAGGACATCATCCACCAGCATGAGGGAGACAAACCACCAGGTCCCGGAACTGAAGTCCAGCTGAAAGCAGGGTGAGAGGAGTTCTGAAGCTGAAGGAGAAGGGGATTCCCTGGATGGTAGCAGTACGCAGGGGTCCAGCTTGGAACAAATGGACAGAGGCTCAGTGAAAGGTGGGAGAGATTGTATGATACGGTTTGTGTAGTCGTGTGCCCCACTGTTAGAGGACAGATCAGAAAAGGAAGACTGCAGGGTGGTGGGTAGAAAGGAGAGCTCATCCTCACACAGAAGGGTGTGGTAACCTTTGTGAGATCACTTGTGAATACTGGTTTCACTCAGAGCTGTGCTTTGGAGCAGGTGTGTGTGTTCACGTGTGGGGCCCGGTGGGCATGCTGTGAGTTAAATCCTCTGGCTTCGTGGTTGAAAGTTAGTGTAGGAGACAGAAAGGTCAGGCAGAGCCAGCCTGGACTGCATTGCAAGACTCTGTCTCAAAAGACCAAATGAATAAAATAATGAATACTAATAAGTGAAAAGTCAATTAAAATACCACCAGTTTTTAAGCTGTTCTCACTAAGCTAGTTTTAGTTGCTTAAGCCTCCACTGATAGTTGAAACTGAAATCCTAAGAGGACTAATTGAAAAGATTGGTTTCTAGTTGGAAAGTGACCACACGTTGTCCTGAGATTATGCACCTTTAAAAATCTGTTCTGTGTCCTGTCAGTCTTGATAGTAAAAATTTATTGTAGTGTTCTAGTAACTATTTATGACTGTAACACTGAGTTTCATACCTTTCGGCAGCTGAGTTTCCAAGCAGAATATTAGTACTGTGCAGTGGTACCTCCATTCACAAACTCTCTCCATGATTCTGGCATATTTGCTTGCAGTTCGGTTTCAGCCAGAGCGTGGAATGAGTTCTGTGACTGGAGTATAGAAAGAACTAGTTCATGAACCGAGGTACCACTGTGTGTGTTTATACGTAGAATCTGCTTGCTGAGTGCGAAGAAGCCACACAGGTACCTTCTATAAGAAGCAAGCACCTAAGATCCCAGCTCTTGGAATGCAAAATTACGTTTAACGGTCTTCTTGTCGGTGGGCCCCCTCTGTTCTTGTAGCTGTTCTTGTCGTATTCTGCTGCCGACTGAGGCTTTTGGGTTTCGTCAAGATGTTCTCATTCCTAGGTTTGCTTCTCTTCCACCTATTTCTTCAGGAAACAAAGATGCCAAATTAGTGACATCACATGTACTTCTGAGACTGCAGATCCCAAGTCTGTGCACACGTGACTGGAGATCGTGGCGGGGGACGCTGGCTTTGAGAAGGGAGGGTCTTTGTACCGAAGTAAACTCCTGGTTAGCACTGGGAGCAGCCACAAAACGAAGGAGCAAAATGAGTTACATGCTCGCTCTTCGCTTGCTGGCAGAAGTCCTCCTTGGAAGTCCCCTGAAAGATAACACCTCTCTGCGCCCCTCAGTTTTAGGTAGCATGGTGCGGACACAGTACACAGAGGACTCTTAAATAGAACATTAGATCGTGTTTTACCGATCGTGACTCTGTTAGATCATACTTCAGTTTATAGAATTAATTTATTATTTGTGTTGTCCATTTATTAGGGAAGCAAGCAGATTGTTTTAGGGATTTTGTTTTGGTGATTTCATTGAGCATAAGAGTTACTTGAATATATAGGTAATTACACAGTGAGAGTTCTAAGTGTTTGACGATGTTTTAGGTGTCTATTATATCAGTATACATCTTTAGAGCATTTTTAATGCTTGCTTCCTACATTGCCAGTATTTTCTTCTGTTACTGGGTTGTGTAACTACAGCCACCTGTTCTGTTCTCACTACATCAGGGTGTTTTTTCTTGCTGAAAGAGTTGAGACTATTCACTCGTAGCGTGCTAGGGCAGAAAGTGAATTTTGGGGAGAATACTAGTAAAGCACCAGGTAACGTGCTGTATACCGCGCTCTTATCCTCAATATCTAATACTATTTTAGGCCCGTGCGGAGTCAGCTTTTGGCTTATGGTTTTAATTTTTGTGAAGCCAAGGTGAGGAATGTTAAAATAGTGCTAAAAATTATTTTAGGGGTCATTAAGTTCTAGGCTTGCACATGGTCAACTTTTGGCTTATGAGGGTAGAATTTCATTGTTTTTCTTATTGTAATGAGAACGATGTGGTTTTAAATTTTTGTGAATCCAAGGTGAGAAACGTTAAAACAGTGGGATGTGGTGGGCCCTTGTCCCAGCCTGTTTGTACACAGTTTCTGAGAATTTGGATAATGACTTGGAAGGTATTTAGAAAACTAGGAAGAATAACTTAAGTACCAACTAAAGATTTTTAGAGATCAATTAAAGGATGAGTTGAGAGAGATTGGCTTTATTGACTAATTGCAGTGCTGAGGTTCAAACCCAGGGCCTTCCACGTTCGAGGCAAGCATTCTGCCACTGAGCTACATCCCAGACCTGAGTGATGGTTACCGGTGACTGTTCCTGTCACCAGTTTAAAAGTCATTATATAGTTACACACGGAAGGAGAGCTGGCCAGACCGTAGAAGAGGTGGGAGGAAAGCACTTGAATTTGGCGAGATCACAGGGAGTTAGCTGAGGGATTTATAGCTGTCTAAAAGGCACGCAGGGTCACGGTAGCCAATGCCAAAGGCTTCTGATGAACTCTGCAGGAGTGGCCGGGCCACGTTTGGCGTGTTGTACTTCGGCTTTTCTGTTGTACTGAAGTGTTTTTATTATGTGATATTTGGTACTTACCAAAAAATATATGTAAAATATGTTAATAATTATCAAAAAGTCTGAAAACCATTGAATCTGTATTTTCTTCCTTTACCCCAGAAGTAACCATTATCCTGAATTTGTTTGTCATTTCCTTGTTTTCTTCAGAGATAATTCTGTGTATTTCTGGCAGTGTATTTCATACTGATTTCTGAACTCTGTTACAATGATAGTGCACAGTAGGTAGCCGTTTTCCCTTGTGTCTTACATTCAGCACTTTGTAAGACTTGTGTAGATCGGTCTTTCTCAACCAGAGGTTCTCAATCAGCCCACAGGACAAAGAAACGATTTGCATGGTTATTTTCTGTTTCCCCAGAGATGTTATATAAGTATGCCCGAAACATTAGGTGCTTAGAGAAGTTACCCCGTTACCTTTGGTGGTTGTTTCAGGCCGGGCAGTTAGATCTTAGTTCTCTGTTGGAACCTGGCTGAGGAAGGCTGAATTTTTACGTGTAGCTCAAGCTAGTTAATTTTTATTGCTGCAAAGTAAGTGTTCTGTCTGTAAGCACATTCAAGTGTATTCCTCTGTTTCGCACCGCTGGGAGTTGGGCTGTTCCCAGCGTCTTTGCTGTCTGACAGTGAGCACTGCTGTCCGTTCTTCTGGTGCACATGGGCAGACGGGACTGGTGTACTTCGAGTGGCACGGCTGGGGATGCGGCATGTCCCTGGAGCACTGGACGGCTGGAGTGAGTCCAGAGGAGGGCAGTGTGGAGCGGCACGGCTGTGTCCTGACCAACTGTATTCTCTCTATGTTCTTAGGGGCTGAAGAGGTTAATGACCATTTGCCAGAAGCACTTTCCCACAGACCCATCAAAGTGTGTGGAGTACAATGCCCTGTGAGGTCCACACGCAGCAAGCAAGAACCATGCGGAACTTCAGCACGCAGTGCGCAGACTTCTGTCATCACCAGCGGGAATGAGGACGGAGAGAGCTGGAGCTTCCGGTCTCCGGATTCACTGCGGAGCTATGGTGGCTGTCACCTCTGACACTGATTTCTGTGTCTTGCTTTCATTTTAAATCATGAAAACTTACATTCTGAAGGCTTTCCCACAGCTACGTATGCAGACAGCAGTAACAGATGCGAATTTAAAGTGACTGACTAAAAGCTGGTGATTAGATAATTAAAAGGAAACTTTGGAGGGTGCACCTAATTTTTCTGTGATTTGTACACAGTCTTCTATGTATTATTTATAGAAAATATTTTTGCATATTTCAACAAAAATGGGGCCATTGAATGAGACTTGATCTTTGGCATTGTGCAGCATAATGAAATGTAAATGCGGTAGTGTTAGCTTAAGTGTTATTTTTCTTTTGTTTCAAAGCTTCCTTTATCTTCAAAAGAGTATACGTCATAGCATTTGTCATCTGTGAGGGAAGAAGAGAATTAACAGGAAACAAAAGTGTGAAAAACAAAGGTGGCGTATTACACCAGCTAAGTTCCAAACGAAGTTAGCACCAGTGTGTCACGGTTGCAGGGGAGGAAGTTGGTCCCGGGCCAATCTAGAATGCGCAGGTGTGAGGAGTGGAACTGCGTGGACAGTGCCTGACCGCCCTCTGGCAGAGGAGGCTGGGGCCGGGACTGCGGGCACCACCCCGGCGGTGTGTCCTGGCTCTGGGCTTGCACGGTGAAGCCTTGCTCAGATCTTAAGTGTCATCCTTTGATCACTGTGGCCAGTCACGGTGCTGTGGAGCTGAGCAGATGGAGCTTCAAGGTGGGGAAGAAGGATGCTGCCTGACCAGCAGGACGGCCGTGTCAGATATTGTAAGAGCAGAGGTCCCGCGGCCAGAGCCCTGCAGCTTCCCCTTTCAGTCACTTGGAGTACTGACAGCATAGCGACAGCTGACTGGGCACGTGACCTGGTCTTGGTGCGCGCCAGCTTCCTCATCTTACGGTGACAGTTGTAATATACACACCCCGTGTCGTTATTGTCGTGTTTAAGTAAAGTACTTCGTGCACTGCCTGGCCAGTGGGAAGGGCCCGGTAAGTGGTAGTTGCGGTGTTAGCGTGGTTGCAGTTGCTAGGCCTTTCACGGGCCCTGTGGTTAGAGGCAGTGTGTACTCACGTAGGGGTAATGCCCGTGGCGTCTGCAGCAACAGCAGTAATTGTGAAATCACTCGTCAAACGTTTCCTGTATGTGGGCTCCGTGGCTGCTTTTACCTCAGCCGGCTCTGCCTGCAGGACAGAGGAGGGCAGCCGAAGGCCAGCGCTGAGAAAGTCACCTCGGCCGCCTGTGGTGTGTGCCTGTGAGACAGTGATTGCTTCTGCTGGTCACTGAGGAGCTGGCAGTGCCTGGTGTCCTGAAGTGAATCCGGCCCCACCCTCCGCTTTGGAAGCCTTTTCTTAGGATGAAATTCTGTGGAGGTGGGGGGACTTTATGGCACAGACGAGGAGCAGACCTCCCTGCGATGTGGCGGCAGTCCACACTGTTGAGGTGTGGTCTTGTGTAGGGCTTGCTTATAAATGCCGTTGGATAAACGCTGCCCTGGTTACTTTTCTGTCACAGGCCACAGCACAGTAGTCGGTGATGTCACGTGTCCTCCCATCTGCCCGTCAATCCCCCACATGAAGAGAATGCGTCCTGTGACACCAGTACTTTCTGGGGCTGACAGTGTGAATAGCCTGACAGACCCAAAGGGCCGTGTGCTTCAGCGCTGTGGCCGTGGAGCAGTGGGAAATTGGGTGGGGCGAGGCAGGCTGGAGGAGGCAGAGCCCTCTGAGAAAAGTGTTCCGTTGCCCCAGAAGTAGAGGTCTTCAGGTGGCTGTACGTATCAGGAGGAGGGGGGAAACCGTCTCTCTCATTCTCCAGATTAAGAACATTTACTTCAGTTCAGCAGAGTCTATGTATTTATGTTTTGAACTGTTTATAAAACAATAAAGATGCATCTCTTCAAATGTCGCAGTTCTAAATACACTCTTCCTTTTCTTCTTCCCTGCCTTCCCATGTATCTGTCCGCTAAAGGTATTCAAGATCCAAAGTAGTAGCACACTGGTTTTCTCTCAGAAGTAAATACGGATGTACCTCAACTCACAGCAGGAATAAACAGTCCTGTTAAAACCATCGTGGTTGAACATACTATAAATTGAAAGTGCAGCTAGTGCCAGCAACCTCACCATAGCGTAGCCTAGACTATCTTCCTTGTGCTCAGGACACTATATTAGCCTATGGTTGGGCAAAATTATTTAACAAAAAGCCTATTTTAATAAAGTATTGAATAACTCAGGTAATGTATGGAAGGCAGTGTCGGGTGTATACCTGACCCCGTGGCTGCATGGACGGCTTGGGCCACTGCTGCCCAGCATGGAAAGGGTCCTACTGCATGCGGCCAGCCTGGGAGAAGATTCCACACCTATGCACAGTTCCTACTAAAGGCTTACTGCTTTCTTGCCACTGTAAGTTGAAAAGTCATGAGTCCAGCGATTAGAAGTAGGGGGCCGTCTGCATTGTTTCTCAGGAGTGGCACTGTCAGCTGTGAAGAGAGCCTTGTAATAGTCTGCAGAGGTCTGAAAGTCACCCCTGTGATGTCAGTCTTTCTGGAAAACAAGCTGAGGCCAGAGGATTAGCACATCGGGTGATAGGGACCCAGATGTTGTGGGAGGAGGGCAGGGACCCAGAGAGCTCAGGGCCGGCTGCTGTGACTAGTGACACAACTGAGTGACTTGCTGCTGTCTCAGCGCTCAGAATTTGGAGACCTGGGAGTAGAGTTGATGGTGGTATGCCTTTTTAATGTTAAGCTCATCCTTGAGGTGGTTTCCTGGCCTACTTGAGCACTGGGGTTTGACCTCAGTAAATAATTTAGAAATGCAACTGGTTCTTTTGTTGTTGCTGGAAAGTAATAATAGTGAAAGTGAACAGCTTGGGAAAGATGAAGAGCGCGTTAGAGCCTTCAGTAGGTTTCAGTTTGGGGGTTCACATCCCTGGCTCCTTCCTAGCCTCGTAATACCCCATTTATGCTGCTTTTCATAGGACCGACTTGGGGCAGTTAGACTGGAAAGACTCGAGTGAGGCTGAAGTAGTTTCTTCTGTCTGCAGTGTCCATGAGCATAACTTCACGGGTCGTGGCTCCTCCCTCCCCCAGCACACCCATGAAGCCATGAAAAAATAACTTTATCCCGTAGAAATTTATGGTATGGTGTCACGGTGGGAGCCTTGAGCCCAAAAGCACTTTCTCAGGGCATATTGATGTAAGAGTTTCCAGCTGTGCAGAGAGCCAGAGCCAGAGCCAGTGCTGGTCCCCAGAGGGTCGCTATGGGAACACTGTTATGGCAACTGGTTTTCATCACAGACTGCATGCAGTTTCATTGGCTGAATTATAGCCACACACTAGTACTTTAATAGTTAACAGTAACTTTAAGTCTTTGGAAATGTGAAAGTAAGTTCTGGGAGTATGGAATAGCTAGGGGGTGCAGTGTGGTTGGCAGCAGCAGCCGTGGTGTAAACTTCTCCCATTCAGGATTTTGGAAGCATGCTCATTAGAAGCAAATGTTTTACACTCACCAAAACAGTTTATTAGGAAAGCATTGACTATTTACTTCTTTTTCTCCCTTGTAAACTGGGGTCCTTTATATGACGTGCTTAAGCTAATCCCCATAATTGCTGATAGTGGCTACTGTTCAGCAAGGCCCCTTCTTTTGGTGTAACTTTCTCCTGCTGAGCACCACATCTGAAATCATCGTCCGCCTTCCCTGCTCCTCAGCTTTTGCCACAGCCGCCCCCTTGCCTTTCCCAGCACTGTTCTTGTTCTACTGAAACCGAATTAATTGCCTTTGCCCTCGAAGTGCTCTTCCCCCAAGACCTAGTGAAGGGTAGGACCCATGGGTCTGCACCTGGCTTAAACTTTATGCAATGTGAAACAGGAGCTAAAGTCACTTTTGAATTTTTTTTTTTTAACCACAACTCAGCAAACAATGGGTTGAGACCAAATATTACACACACTTGTATATACAGTATAACTTGAAAGCACTTCCCTGCTATATGCGGCTAATATTTTCCTAGTCTGTTGTGTTTCTTTAAAAAATATGCTGATTGTGACCTCAGTTTACAACCATTGTGAACAGTAGTTTGAAAACCCCTGGTTAAAGGGAACTATCAACAGAGGGAAATGACTCCGTCAGAGGAATTTATGGCAAAAGGACTCCACCTCTTACTTTTCCAGTGTAGAAGTAACAGCCCTCAGGTTTAGTGTGAAACTTAGCAGGTTATAAAACCTTCTGTACTTCAAATGCTAAGTTCTTCTGAAGCAATAATTCTTAAGTTTAAAGTGAGACTTGTCAGAGAGAGAGAAATGAAATAGCAAAGACAGGCAGCATATGGCCTGTCTGAGGAAACTGGCAGCACAGGCAGGCAGCCCCTGGTTGGGTAAAGCAAGCTTAAGCAATGCATAAAATGAATGGGAGGTCAGTTAGAGCGTGAGAGCAGTGCGGCAGGGCTGGGTGCATGGGGCCCACTGTGGTGCCTGGTGGGAAGGAAGTGGTTTTGGCTCTGAGAACATGATTTCTGAAGACCCGAGCACTACTAGATTACATTTTAAAGTGAAATTCTTGAAGTATGACATCTACAGAAAAGCAGAGTGTGATGTCATAATAAATTTTTCACAAGCTGAACAACTCTCCAAGTAATCAGCACCCAAATCAGAAAAGTAATGTTACTGAGTTGCCAGGAATCTGTCTGTACTTTATAGTTGCAGCCGTGGTCCTGATTTCTGACATCATAGTTCTGAAAAAGTCTTTATTGGTACATAATTTGCATGCCATCATGTACACATTTAAAGCAAACTGGTTTTTAGTGTACTTGCAGAGCTGCACGCCCTGGTCAAAGTCTTAAGTTTAGAACATTTTCATCACAAACACCATTCCTATGCATAGCCAACCCCAGGCAGGTTAGTTTTGCTGTTTGTGGGTCTTTTCTCCCCAGCTTGTCTGTCTGTAAACAGCATCAAACGGTACGCTTAACTTCTTTTGTGTTTGACTTCTTTGGTTCTGTTTGGGGCTTCTGATATTCCTGTTCTGTACTGCTGGGGTTAATTCTCACGGTGATAGCTCCCAACTTCTCTGTCCTACTGTTAGTGATGTTTCTACTTTGGTGTTTTTTTTGTTTCCGTTTTGTTTTGTTTTGTTTTTTTGTACCAGGAATTGAACTTAGGACCTTGCTCTTGCTAGGCAGGCACTGTGCAGCTGGACTACATCCCCAGCAACTTTGGTATTTTTACACGAACATTTTGTGCGCATTTCTTGGTGATGTGAATTTCTGTAGAGTGTACACCAAGATAGGACACTTCTGAGACATGGGGTGTGTATATTCAGTTGTAGATCCACTTTCACTTTTCCAACAGGCGTGTACCAGTTTATATTCCCATAAAGAGGGTTTGAGAATTCTGGTTATTCTGCACCTGGTTACACTTGATATATACCTCTGGGTCCTTTCGTTTTAGCCCTTCTGCTGGGCTCTACTGGTATCATATTTGCAGATTTGATTGCGTTTCCCTGATAACCAATAAAGTTGGTTTAATGGCCATTTGTATATTTTATAAAGTTCCTACTCAAGACTGATTCCCCATCCCCACCCCCATTTTTTTTCCTTTAGGGTTGCCTGCCTTTTTCTTACTGATTTATAGTGTATTATGTATTCTGCTAGATGTAGGTATTGCAGTGCTTCTTATACGCTGGTGTGCACTAGGTTACTCTTGTGTGCTGCAGGGAAATAATCTAGTGACTAGCTTGGGTATTAATATAATCAGCTGACAGATTTAATAAAAAAAGTCATGTCAATTTTAAATGATGTAATTATTTCTCCTATTTAATTATCAGATAGCATGCCTAAAGAATATAGGGTTTGAGAGAAGCAGAAATGTGCATTTTGGAATTTTACATTAAACTTTAGTTTTACAAGATTACTGCTTCGTTTAAGATTTGGCTATATTTCTCTTTTGTGCAAGTTTCTATTATATATATATGTATGTATGTATTTGCTTACCCTATTTTCTTTTTCTATTTATTTTTTAATTTTTAATTATTTTAAAGAAGAAGAAACAAAAACAATGAACACATAAACATAAGAACAAAATTCCAAAACAATATGATAGGAGGGTAACAATGGTCAACACATTGTACATTGTTATCTTTAAATTAGTTACTCAGAGGATGAGATATCAGCATTTAATAGTCCAGACAATATTAGCACAAACCTATCTTTTCAGTGGACTGAGAGAAATTAGCAGCATGCCTATCTTAACTATATATATTTTTTTTTCTTTTTTTTTGCTTTTGTTTTCCTTTTTCCCCATTCCCCTAAACTAGTTTTTCTTTCCTTTTGAAATTTCTTCCCATTTTACAATATCTATTGTACATTTGGGGTGACATTTACTCTTTCAGCTTCTCACATCAGGGAGACAATACAATGTTTACACATTTGTGTCTGGTTTATTTCATTGATGAGTATGGACTCAAGGTGAATCCATTTACCTTAAGAAGTCTCCAGTTTATCTTTATTTATGGCTGAGTAATACTTATATAAAAAGGCCACATCTTTTGTAGCCATTCCTCAGCTGATGGGCATGTAAGTTGTTTCCAAGATCTAGCTATTACAAATTGTGCTGCTATAAGCAGGGGTACACATATATCACTGTGGTATGATGTTTTTACTTATTATGAGAAGATACCCAGAAGGAAGATACCTGGGTCAAGTAGGACCCCCAATCATAGTTTTTTGAGGAATCTCCACACTGATTTTCAGACTGGTTGTACCAGTCTGCACTCCCACCAACAGTGGAGAAGGGTTCCTTTTTCCCACAGCCCCTCCAGCATTTGTTATTGGAGATTTCTTGATAATAGCTATTCCTTCCAGGGTGAGATGGAATCTCAGTGTTGGTTTAATTTGCATCTCTCAAATGACCAATGATGTTAAGCATTTTTTCA